CCACAAAACGCGCGGGAAATAGCCACCACCGCTACCTGCTTGCTTGCCCGCCGTTTATAGTACCCACCTCCGTTGTTGTCGTAGTCCTCGTCGCACTCGATGGACAGCGTCGGGGACGCTGGCTCAAGCTCGCAGGTGGCGCATCCGATCGAAAACCACTCCGTGGTGACGTTCACCGGGTGATCGGCACAATCGGGCGCCTGGACACAGCAGGTCACACACCAGAAAGGGGGCGCCGTGGGAGGGGGGGTGTACTCATAGTCGTGCATGCCGTAGTCATTAGACCATTGACCTCGCATCCCTACAAAGCCGGGACGGAGCACGCCGGGTTCTCACCGGACCAGGCTCTCACATCACCAAGCGCGAAGCACCGTGAGGTATTTGGCGAGTCGCATGAAGGGTGAGCTGCATCCTGCTAAGGGTGTTCGGCATCTTGTGCTTACTTCCTTGCGTACGGATGACAGCTACGTATGACTTAATTTATTTTCTGGTGCTTTCACTTCCAGAGACAGTTGTAAGCACTGTGTAACTGCCTCGAGGGTGCTTGACCAATATTAACACAACGTGGTGCGATCATCCCCCGTTGCGCGGAGTGAGGGTTCTCCACCCCGCACAACATGATCTACTCGACCACCATTATGGTTACCGCCCAAAAAAAAACCGACGTAGAAAAAAAAAAAACGGTAACCTGGTTGCCGAGTTCACGAAGTGAATTGGCTTGTTTTACAACGTCGTTGCCAAGCGACGAAAACCCAATCCCGATGGCAAAACACCGAGCGGGGGGCTTGTTTTACAACGTCGTTGCCAAGCGACGAAAATCCAACCCCAATGGTAAACACCGGGGGGGGGGGTACTAGCGCAAACGCGTGCCGTAATCGTTAGATCATTGACCTTGCATACCTTCAATGCCGGCACGGAGCGACAAGCCAGGAGGGGGTTGTACGAACAAGCACGCGTGGCAGAAGCACTCACTCATCGTCATGTTCCGAGACTCGCCAAATCACCAACGTCGCCGTCACTAAGGGATTGGATACCACCACCGGCATCGCAACCAAGCGAACGGGATTCGACAATCACGCAAGCCCTTCAGCAACCAAAAATCTCACCCACTCTTGGCCGGGCCACGGTCACGTTAATGCAGCTCGTGAGCTCTCGACGGCATCGCCAACAGCAAACGGCAACAGCAGCGACGGCGGTGACAACGACAGAAACAGATACAACGGCGACGATGACGGCAACAACTCCGATACCAGCCCCGACAACAACAGCAACGACAGCGGCAACATCACCAAAACCACCACCAACAACAACAACAATAACAACAAACAACAACAAACAACAGCAACAACAACAACAACAACAACAATAACAACAATAACAACAACAGCAACAACAACGACAACGACAACGACAACGACAACAACAACAACAACAATACCGCTCCAGTGCAAAGAAACCCACCCGAGACGTGCTGCAGCTCCGTGCGAGAGAGAAGCGAGTGCAGGGCGTGCCCGAACTCGTGAAACAGGGTCTCCACCTCCGAGTGGGACATGAGCCTGCCGTCATCCTGTTCACCCCCGCAAAGACAAAAACACAAGAAGTAGCATTCAGGCCCCAAGAGGCAACACTCAGGCCCCAAGCACACAGAGAGGGTAGAAAACAAATGACACGCAACACCAACAGAATCGGGCGCGAGTTCGTCAGTTTTGCAATTGTCTCTCGCCGTCGGGAAGAACGTAAATCTAAATCCTACCGCGCGAACGGGTTGAGCAGGCTAAGGCTAAGGAATATTGCGCAGTCGTTTAGCCTTAAGCCTTGGAGGTGGTTTCTTCCTTAGCCCTTAGCCTTGGATGGCTGTCGTACACAAAACCCCGAGGGATGGATGGATGGATGGCCGTCGTTCCGCACCAGGAACGTGAAGCACGGAACAGCGGCCAAGTCTGAGAGGCGCTCGAAACACCACGCGGGAGAAGACGATCACACCGGCAGCAGCAGCAGCAGCAAGACAACAGAAACAGCAGCAGCAACAGGAACAACAACGGCAACAGCTTGCAACAACAACAAAAGCGACAACGACATCACCTCGGGCACTGCTCTCCGCTGCCGTGGGTAACCGTCCCCACCTCTCTCACCTTTCCGGACCGTTCCTTGGACTGTTTCGCGTTTCCACCATCCGGCGGCGGCTCCGGCAGGCCAAAGTTGCACACCAAAACCACCGTAGGGAGTTGATACTGAAGTCAAAGAGGCGTGAGGATGGGGGGCGAGGGGGGGATATTGCCGCCGGGGGCTCCATGAATCTGGAGCGTTCAGCAAACCGTCCTATGGAGGGGGGGGGGGGGGGGGGGG